GATGCCGTATAAGCATGCTGACATCAAGCGAGTGCACGAAGCCCTTAGAGATCACTGATCACTGTAATCTGCGCAAATGTGGGCGAAACCTCGTTACCATTCACGGTCTACGTGAACTTTTGTCTGACGATTAGAAGTATACAGGGTACGGTTTCATGGCAAGTTTACTCACTAGGGTGAGTCCGGAGCCTGTACGATTTGCCTCCGGCTGTGTGCAATCGGATTGGATGGAAGTCTGCCCACTTAAGAGCGAGAAGAAAGCGGGTCTAATACGACGAAATGCTAACTTTCGAGATTCGAGTTTGCATTCCACCATGTTGACCGAACACATGATGGTCCGCAATGAATGGGCTTGGGGGGCGGGAGGTGAGAGGAAGATGCAAGGACGCCTAGGAGGACGAGTGTTATCCCTCGGTGATTGCAGCTATATTTGTCCATGCCCTTCTGCTCCGTGGAGTGGAGTGGAGTCTACTTTGCGCGCAGACGAGTTCACGATTTCGCTCTGTTGCTCATAATTGTCTCTAGTCCGAGTATATCCGAAATCCAGAGTTTCACTGCACCCTCGCACAGACTTCGGAGGGAGCCCACTTAAAAAAGAAACTCGGATATGCATAGATAACATACTTTAACAGAGCCGGCCATGAGACCTTAAGGACAAAAGCCATGCACCAGCAAGAATAGCGCATTGCATTTGACTTGGGTTAAGAGCCGCCAGGAGAGAATTGACTTCGGTTTTTTCACCACACCCACGGGCCCCATCGCCTGGTGCTTGCTGGCTGTGATGTGATGCTCCTGTTGCGAGACAGTGTGTGTGTGTGTGTGTGTACCCCCGATGTATGGCGTATAGAACCCTCGTACATCAGAAAGCGCCATATAGCTGCGTTGTTGTGGTGGAGGAGGTGGGGACGGTAGGCCATAGAATCTAGTGAACCGGCTCATACTAACCTCCACACACTCGCTCGTACGTCCCACAGCACCAGCACTCCCTCGCCGCTGCGGGTTTTGTTCAGCGAGGAATAACTGGTCGTGGATCGGACGGAAGGTGGGTCGGTCGCCGGTACACTGATGATCTGATATCCGGGGCCCGAAGAAAAAGAAGAATAAATCGAAAGGAATCGAAGAGGCTCAGATTGCTATTCATTCATACTGATACGGTGGTTGCTGATGCTGGTGCCCTTCCGGTGCTGCGGAGAATTAAGGAAGGAAGAGGAGAGGAGCAGAGGAGGACCTTTTTGTCTGTGGGGAGGATTTGATCAGAGAGTGTGTACCGAAGGGAGGGAGGGAGGGGAGTCAGGTCATCGGGAACGAGGAGAGGGAGGAGGAGGAGGAGGAGGAGGTGCTTTTGGTCTGCTGCAGCGATTTCTATATTTAATCATCTCGAGCGGTTTGAATACATCAGCGAGCAGCAGCTTTGATCGGGAGAAGGATCGCATGCACATGCCGCTCGATTATGACGAGACTAATTTATGAAAGCCGAGCGAGTAAAGGGGCGGGGCGCCTTTTCCAGCTGGCCGTGGCTAAGGGGGGTCGCTTCTCTTGTCGATCTATCCAGCCATCCAGCCCTGCGAGCAGAGCACTTACAGAGGCCGCGAGAGCGACCGAGCGAGCGGGTGCGCGTCGCCTTGGGGCTGGGCTGCATGGCAGACGGGGGTGGGGGTGGGGGTGGGGGTGGGGGAAGGGGGGGAAGACCTTTCGAGGTGACGATATTTTGCCGAGAGCGAAGCGAGTGAGTGATGGGTGAAGCTCCCCGTCCACCGCAGGGGCCCGGCTGGGTGGCTGGCCGCAGGGGACGAGCGAGGATGGATGGATAGATAGCTACGCGAACCGCTTACCGGTGAGAGTAATGGGTGTCGAGAAGCAATAAAGGAATTTGAGGAATGCTAGCGGAGTAGGATTGGATGATTGAGTCAAAAGTTGCAAACCAAATTCATATATGTTGTTGAGCGACCCAAACGTTTGTTGTCGAGACGACCAGCAGCTCGGGACGAACGACTGCTGCTGCTATTGCTGCGACGCAGTCGTGCACTGCAGATCAGGCATTGAAATTCTGCTGGAGTGAACTCGTCGCTGATTTGTTTGTTGGGCCAGCCAATCTTCATCGAGTGCTAGCGTTATCGACTGTTTCGCGTTCGAGGGACGGGGATATAGCCACATATTCACTTTCTATGGTTCATAATCCCATTTGCTTTTAGGTGGCCCGATCCGATCAGTCCCTCCCTCACTCATTCGCTCTGTCCTCTCGCCTCCCCCCCCCCCGCCCCCCCCCCCCCTTCCAATACGCCCTCGCTTGTCCTCCTCCTGCCCCACCGCCCTCTCTCCCTCCCCCCTCTCTCTCTCTCTTTCTCGCCTCCAGGAGATGCCAAAGCCAAAGCCATGGTAAAGTTTATTACCGTGAAGAACATTGAGGCCCTGCTTCTGCTTCTGCTGCTGCTACTTGAAGCAGAGACCGGTCGCCCACTTTGAACGCAGTTTCCTAGGAGCATGTAGCCTGGGAGAGAGGAGCCGGGCCAGGCCCAGGGCCAGGGCTTGAAGGAAGGAAAAGTCAGATCTCAGAGTCCAAAGAAGACAGTCCGGTCCTTTCCTCGATCTGAAGTTCCAAACAGAACAGAACAGAATAGAACAGAACAGAATAGCAGAGCCTTTTCTCCAGGAATGAAGGAACAAACGCGCTCGCCCTACACACGAACCACGCAGAGCCCCTTCTCCTTCACAATGCCCGCTCAGCGCATCTCGGCTGGACTCTGCTGCTGCTCTTGTGTGGAGTTTTGACTGGCGACGAGCGCTTGCTCGGCCTGCAGAGTCCTAAGCTGAAACTCTTCCGAAGAGACAGCACATTCAAAAAAACCACTTTACGCTATTCGAAGTTGTCAGAACGAGTTCGGTACCGTATGATTATAGTACTGGATCAATATTCCGTCAGTGGGAGCCCGGGCGAGGGGGGGGGGGGAGGATTAAATATTGTACAATCATCAACCCACCGTCAGCACCAGTAAACAATACTTGTCTAGCCGTCTACTTATTCCCTCGGAAGATCCCCGTCGATACCCTCGCCTAAGTCTCCTCCCACATTCGAAGGAGCTGCAATCATGCATTCTCGTTGGTCTACTACTCTACCAGAAATATACGTACGTGTACGTACGTATTCACGTAAATGGATACCCGTATTTACCCCGTCGTCTCCCACGGTCTCAGAGTTCGTGTACCGTATGTGTACGTGTGTGTGCGTAACAAAAACATACTGTGTCTGTTTTCTGTTATTGATGTCTGTCGTCCCAATTCCCATCACGGGTGTATCGATGCTCTGGTTCGGTTGCGAACATGGGAGTAATTCCACGAGTTGGGGTAAAAACAAAATCTCTCGGAAAGGCAACAACGGGAAGAGGGTCACGAGATATGTGAGGGAAAGGGGGCAACTGGCAAAGGGCAAAGGGCAAAGCCAACGAGGCAGCGAGAGGCAACGGGAAGAGAAAGGGAAGGGAAGGGAAGGGAAGCACATGAGAGGGAGGGGAGGGGAGGAGCTCGGGCCTGAGAGCCTGAGAGCCTGCGAGTGGAAGTTGTGATCGTTGACAGGTTCGGTATGGACGACACTCCACTCAAGGCGAGATTAAGAGATGTCGTTGCTGACGTTGCCGTGGCTATTGAAAACAAATCTCATAGGAGTACATAGATTCCACGCTGCTGCTGCACCTGGGGGGCTGCTATTGTTGCTGCTGCTGCTGCTGCTGCTGGGGTCAGCCAGCCCGATTAGCTTTTTCTGCGGGTCACGAGGACAGAGACTATTTTCACCCGCCAATGTTCTCATGGCATCAAGGAAATTCGGGCACTTTACTCGGGTCTCCATGAGACCTTTTGAGACTTTTGGTCGATCTGGCCCCGATCAAACGGCAAGGGCATATGTCAGCCCACTTCGGGCCACTCGCTCACGGGATCATCCATCTTCCAGGAGTCGGTGGCCTGGATAGGTATGTGTGTAGATGCTGTGCCTGCTTACAGTCATACTAGTGGAACTGCTTACGGCCGCCTCGAATTTTACTCACCCGCGCCGCAACTCTCTCATCATTCCTCTCTCTCCTCTGCCCGCAGCATGAGCCCCAGATTCGCCCGGCACCCGCGAGCTTCCCGCTCTGCTGCTCGCTTTTCAGAGCGGCAGCGGCAGCGGCTGGCGACAATGGACACCTCGGAGGGGAGGGTCCTACTCGCATTCTTCTAACGCTAGTCCGCGAAGGAATATTGCGCTAGTGTGTTGAGTAGATCGCAAGCGTCGAAGACAGATTTGTCTGCAACAAAAGGACGAGCCGCGGACGGGGGGGGATACGGTAGCGCTGCTGGCTGGCTGGCTGCTGCAGCATGCAGTTGCCGCCTCCCTCTCTCGCTGCCTGCCCCCCTCGCCCGCCCCCCAGCCCGCAAGAAAAGGAGGAGGCCCGTACCCGACTCCCTCCCTCCCTCCCTCACGAGCCCCAGCAATTTGGCCCTTTACGCGCCGTTCAAGTTCGAATTCGTGTTTCTGCGCGAGTAAACGCGACGCGACGGGACCCACTGCGCGCAATTGCGCATGTTCGTGTCGTGGTGGTCTTGCGTGACAACGGCCACTGATTACGAAATCTCTGGCCTGCCTGAGATTTCGCTCGTTAACAAACCCGATGCGTGATCGCCTGACCTCCCTCCCCTCCCTCCCCTCCCTCCCTCCCTGCAGAGCCCAGGCCCGCCATGCGAACCCCCATGCCGAAAAGCCACCCAGATTCCATTAACAATTCTTCGGCTCGCTCTGGGCGTTTGGATTGCTGCGCTGGGCTGACCGACTTTGATCCATTCCAATCCACAATTCGGCCTCGTTCGCTCGTCCTCCAGTGCATGTGCACAGCCCAGCCCAGACCCGAGAGGGAAAGAAGGGCGGAGTACGAGAGAGAGAGAGAGCCGAACGAAAGAACGCATGCGCACAGTCAAGCACAGACAGACAGACCGACCGACAGACAGAGAGAGGCCTGGACGCAAATGAGATGGAAATGATTTTATAGTGACATAGAATTTACCCATGATTGTTGGGTAGATTGCGCTTGCAAACTTCTTTATACACAGGTACGTAAACGGGGTCAAAACTTCTCTCGTACATGTACACTGATAAGCCTAATCTAATTACCTGAAAAGCACCGCGCTGCGGTGCCTCTATGAATGTATTAAGATGTGCCTCCACTAGCTCCTCCAGTTATCTACACTTGACGCGGGGTGGGCTTCCGATCATCTAGACGGTCTCGCTATCACTAAAATTAGTGAGCCGGCAGCAGCAGGTCGCAAGGTCGGTCGTGCTTGCGATTCGAATTCGACCGGGCGGGCTCATTTTTTGATCAGGACGGCCAAATTCACGTTGGAGTAGGCCGCTCGAGGCCTTAAGGATTCAGCTCGCGATCGCGTGATCGCCCGGAGCTCGAGCCGGTGGAAGAACTGGTCCGCTACATTCACTCCCATGTGCGTGTCCACGAGCACGCCCAGCAGGCTGCGACAGATTTTGGCCAATTTTCTGCCGCAGTCCGTGGGATTGGCTTCCAGCTCCTGCTTCGTGAACGGATTGGCAGGCACATCGTTCAGTAGCTCTAGTCTATCTACCAAAAATGAGCCGGACTCGTCGATCGCCTCGCGCATCTCGTCCACAGTCGGGTAGTACATGGGAATGTTGAATGAATCCCGGACACTCGCGTCCAGCAGGCCCTGCACATTTAGCACCGGATCCACAGGTAAGCTTCGAACTGGCGACAGAACAGCACCGCAGCACAGCAGCATAGTATAATAGTAAAATTGAATCGGCACCAGCCTCCACGGGTGGATCGTACGGCGGCCGCAGCAGCAGCACTCTTTACAGAAAGTGCGCGGGCAGGACTATGGGAGCTGGAAAGTATAATTCAAAGGCTCTCGACGCTCCCAATCAGGACACACAGTTGACCAGCCGCAGGAATTGACCCGCAGGCTGACTCCAGCAGGTCGATTCAGATCGAGCTCGCGAGCGGGATCAGCTAAATTGCCCTGAGCGAGATGGCAGATTCATGACCGTGCCAAATTGCGCTCGCAAGGTCGGGGAGGAGGGAAATACATACCTCGGAAATGAGTTCGTTAAAGACGCCCTCCATCTGCGTGCCGAACATGGTCACGCCATCCGGATCGTATTGGACAGTGGGGTCGCTGTCTTTTCGTCCTTTGAGCAGCAGGAACATGAGTCCTCCCGACACCATCTCCTCGGCACGTGCTCTCAGAAAGGTGACCAAGTCCCTGCGAGATTGCTCGGCGTATGCTTTGGCCGCAGCCGGTTTCCCGCCGTGGATCCACACGAAGCCATCGTTGTAAGCTGGAGAGTCCTGTCGTTGCACCGCCTCCGGAATCTGACCAGACCAGCAGATGAGAGTTAGGCCAGAGGACGGAAGCTCACTCACTTGCGCAGGCAAGCAGCACTAATTGTACAGTACTACATTCAATTGGCATTTCGTTATTCCTATTAGATTCGTCCTGGTCTCGGGTCCGGTTGAATTACTGGAGTTTGGTTTCGGCGAGACACAAGCTTCACGAACGGAGCAAACATTCATTCAATTATTCGGCAGGTTGGCCGCGGGTGTCCACCTTGGAAAGCCAGTGGAGGGAGAATGATGAGAAGACCACGTTGACAGAGGCTCGAGGAAATAATCTGCCGTAGAAGGATCCTGCCACGCATGACGCAAAATACCCATTCCCCGCCACACGAGAGCCCACACGGCCCGTGGCATTAGCAGCAGCAGCAGCAGCAGCGGTGCCATCCCGCGAGGATCGAGAGTAGTCACGGTTTATGTGGCGCAACAGGCTGTTGAAATCGTTGGATGGGAGGTCGGCAAAGTACACGTCGAATTCCGGTACAGCCGCAGATTTTCGGCCCGAGGCAGGCAGCTGCTGCGGATGCGCGGATTGAGCTGCGACGGTAGCAGCAGCAGCAGCAGCCGAGGCATAGCGTTTTCGGAGAGTATTGACTATGATATTCATGTGGTTTACGGAGTTGGGTCCGGACGAGCAGCCCAGGTCCGCAATTCGCACCACGCCCGTGCGAGTCGGCAAATCCATTCGGTGAATTGCAGCCTGCAAAACGGGCTGCACGAATCTGAATCCCTGAGCCTGAGTCTGGGAATTTTTAGCGTAGCTGGCGTCGCCTTCGCCGCCCTTCATGGCCAGGAGCGCATTCAGCTCGGTCACTTCGTTCACATCCGCCATCTTGCCCGGCGCTTGCTCCTTGTTGTAGGGTTCGGCAGCATTGCTGCTGTAATGCAATTTGGCATTCGACATGACGTCCAGGCCCGCCGCATCACTCTGCACTCCCGCAGTCATGACTGATACTACAGCTCTCAGACGCAACCGGAGGGGCTCTGAGGTTTGAACTCGCAAGGGGGCGAGCGAGCACTCTCACTGGTGCTGCGGCTGCTGCGCGGTGTGGCTCTTGTGCTGCCGTTAGGCAGGCTAAGAAGAGCTCAAATATTTCAGATCGTTGCTGCCCCTGGGGCTCCTGCGGACTCGAGTAATAAACGTCGATCAATGATCAGTCCTTCACTCGACGAATCCAAACAGACGCCTAGCGCGAGCGAGGCAGGCGACGGGGAGGCTATCATAACCTCGGTGCCTATGTAGACCGCAGATGAATGGATGAGTTCTGTTCACTCCGAATCTTAACTGACGATCGTATAGCCCTGAAGCCCAGCCCCAGCCCAGTCCAGCCCTCCAGCCCCGCAGCGATCCTAACCGAGCCGAGCCAAGCAAGCCAAGCCAAGCCTTCTTATTACCGCATACCCAAAACCCCTGAGCACCGCATTCCGCCGCCTTCTCTGTCTCACTAACAATATTAATCAGCACTGGCACACGCCGCAGACTACCGTAGGCAGCCTAAACTGTCAGCTCGCTCTGCTCTGTGCTGCTCTGCTCTGCTCAGCTCGCCTCAGCTCAGCTCGGCTCAGCTCAGCTCTTCTCTGCCGCTGCTGCCACGGAGACGCGCGTAGCTTTCTGGCCATCCATACCTTTCGTCTGCCTTGTTTCTTCCTTTCTTTCTTTGGCCTTTTTGCAGAAAGGTTAACGTCTGGTGGTCGTAGTCAAGTCGTAGAAGTAGTAGTTCTGGTATGGAAGCGTTTCGAAACTTTACTGCCGCGTTCCTACTATGCGTGACATGAAGGTTCTCATGTATCTCTCTCTTCTCTCTCTCTCTCTCTCTCTCTCTCTCTGTCGCTCTCGCGCTCTCTCTCTCTCTCTCTCCGAGTCACCCTCTTTCTTTCTCTACTTCCGTCTGGCAGTCAGGACAGGAGGAGGCATATGTAACCGTGTTTAACTAGAACCATAAATTCGCTCGAAATCTGATATGCTCGGATTTGCTTTCCGTCCTCTCACAGGTCACATCCTTGCTCTCCTGGCGTGCTTCCCCTACTACTACTACTACTACTACTACCCTTGGCATCCTAATCTATTTCGCTGAGACTGCAAGGGAAGGAAGTTAGCAGCATGGAAGGGAGGGAGAGTCCCGCTTGCCTCGCCAAAGACCAGAACCACTCCGTGTTCCATCAAGGAGCGACACTTTTGCCTAGCGATGGGCCCCACGCACTCTCCCCACTCTCCGCACACCCATCACTGTCCCAGGTTCGCTCTCTTCTCGTCTCCAGATCCCGACCGTATGTCTTCGGCTAAGCTTGGCGTGGATGAGCGCGGCAGCTACAATAGCGATCGCTAGCGGATGGGCTCGCCTCTCGTCATCGCGCATCACGGTTCTACAGCTTGTGCTCCTCTTCTGGTCGTGATTCGACAATTCTCGGCCTTGAGCGTCGTGATGGTGAGACATCTGGATTATATGGACAAGCAAGGAGTCGCAAGATTCCCAAGACCTATATTAATTATGTTCTGTTTTTTCTCCCTTTTCTCTTTTGACGCAAATGCAGCCCATGTTCTGCTCTGCGTGCCTGCCTGCCTGCCTAATTTGCGGCTGCGACCTCCAAATCTACGAGTGTGCGTGCGTGCGTCTCTGTTTTGTCAACGTCGGGGCTTTTTCTTTCGCCACCCCATCCCCATTTCCAGACTCATGATTTCAGCCTGCCGATGGCACCGACTTTGACTATCTCCGTCCGGCAGCTCGGATTCTTGCAGCTCCCATGTCCCAGGCGAGGGATTGTCCGCGCCTTGAGCTCGCCCACGGTATTTCCAGTGCAGTCCCAGTCCTAGTCCCAGTGTACATCTGAAGCGCGGTCCTTCGTCCTTCTGTCTGCATCTATCGCCATCAGTCCATCTATTCTGGCAGCTGAAGGCGACACTCCTGTACTACGCAAGCCTAATGAAGCGAGGCCTGCCTCCCTGCCCCTCCCTGCCTGCCTGCCTGCCTGCCTGCCTGCCTGCTGTGCCACCAACCAGTAGAGTCCGGCACTAACGCTGTATCTACAGTAGGATTTATAATTGAAGAAAAGAAGAGACCAGGTCTTGCTAGCCTCCCTCTCTGTCTCGCCACTCTTCTACGGCTAGTCCAGCGCGAGTGCTATTGCTATTGCTATTGCTATGGCTAGTGTTTCTCCTTCTCCTTCTCTCTCCGGGGACCTGTCGGAGGATAATGCCGCCTCTAGCAAACAGGGGCTTGCTCTGTGCCGGCCCTCATCGTGGACCTACAAGCTTGGGAAAAAACAACTGAACGAAGCTGAGCTGAGCTGAGCGGAACTACGCGCAGATAAGGGAAACGAGGGAGTGCGTGGTCTTCCATAATTCTAGATCCTGTCCCAGAGTTTGTCCGTTCTTTCTTTCGGATTCGCCAATCGCCTGCTGCAGATTCAGATATTCAAGCCCGTCGACATCAGGACTGACCTGACTCGACTACTTTCCGTCCTGTTCTGTGGCCTACGGGTTCAGAAGGACATTACAGTTCCTACGCGAACCAATTAGTGTGCAGATGGCGACCTACATCTCATCCAACATCCATTCTCTTCAGTTTCGAAATTACACTCCTCCCCGAGAAGTAATCGCTCTCTTGTCTCTCTTGTCCCGGCTGGCGGTAGAATTTTTCTCCGTCATCTTAGTAAGGAAGCGCACTCAGAGCAGGTGTTTAGCTTGATCTGCTATGCAAGCAGCGCATGCCTGCTTGCCTTGGGATAAGGTCGCTGCTTGGAGTTGAGGAACAATACAAGTACAAAAGAAGACCACTGGATCTTCAAGGGGCCAAGTGCGCTTTTTACAGTTCAGACATTGCCAGCATGCGGCCAAACCGCAAAATTCCACACAAATTCTCTCTCTCTCTCTCTCTCTCTCTCTCTCTCTCTCTCTCTCTCTCTCTCTCTCTCTCTCTCTCTCTCTCTCTCTCTCTCTCTCTCTCTAGTAACGCTCCATCCATCTCTTACATTCTCCGTCTTAACTTCTGCACCAAGTAATTTGCATCGTCATGGTCGGTTTATTCCCTCGGCTCGCTCCCCCTCCGCTTGGCCTTTTTTGTTACTTTTTGAAGATAATGCACAGTGACCACAACATCGTCGTAGACTTCCAGGTCACACAAGCGTCGAATGGGTGGTCCGATCGTTCATCCCCATTCCCTAAACCGAACCGAAGAAGGCTGTTAGCCACTTCGTCTTCGCTCTGCGGGGCGAGATCGGCTCATGCATCGCTTCTACAGCGCCCCTATTCGCTCTAAGCCGCCCACCTTAGATTCGATGGCCTATTAAAAATAATTTGAGCTTGCTCCAGACGCTGAAAGCCGTTTTGTAGCCTTTTGCCATGGGCCTTCGACCTCGCATACGACTGCAGTGAGACGGCTCGTCAGTCAGTTAGTTGCATGGGATGGACGAAAGAATAAACGCCCTCACCCCTGACTTCGAACAGATCGAATTGAATAATCTTGTTAGGGCAAGTACACACACTTAGATTCAAAGTCAACCGTGTAGTTTAATATTGACCACCTTTGACAATGAACCTCCTGGGGATCAAATCTTGCAAGTTCGCGATATTTGTGGTACTTGCGCTGCTTGTCATCTCGATCAGCAGCCATACTATACGTCGGTCTATCGTCCAGAAGCGCTTGCACTCCGTACCCAAAGAATGCTCACGCAAAAGTCAATCGACTTGGTGGCCTCGAGTCTCAAGTGTGTGGCACGGTCACGCCCCTCTTTCCCTCTGTCGTGAGCAAGGCAGCATATGTAAAACGTGCTTAACGAAAGTGTTTGGCAAATTCGCGCTGGAATCCCCATCGACGTGTTGGATGGCCTTTGGATGCGTCGAAATCGATGAGAGTCTCATCGAGAGATCACATCTCGGTTCTTTGTATGGACTGTTTGGTGCTTGCATTGTGCCGATGGACGAGGGCTTATTTCAGCACCAAGTGCAAGAGCGTGTGTTGTCTTCCCATCTCTGAGCAGGGAAAGTTTTGACCAAATGTCAGTGATGTTCTCATCTGTGTGAGGCTTTGACTCGATCATTGTGTCATCTTTTGCATGCCGCCTCGAGAACGCCTAGAGAGAAGACAACAAATACAGAATTCCGCTCGCTCGCTTGGTGGTCGTGGTATGAAAAGAGCATACAGCAGTATGGCCTGCATGGGAAGGCAGGTACAGGCACATGCAAATCTGTGTGATGATGGGCTCTCTTCAGCAAAATAGGTTTTACCTCCATCATTAGACAATCACATGAAATCGAGACCATCATTCGTGTTCAAGAGCGAGTTACAATAATTAGTGGAGTTCAGAGCACTGTTCCACACTTCCACTGGATGCAGCTCCACAACACCTCATACATAGCCTCATGAGAGGCGATGATGGCGATTAGTGAAAGTGTACACTTGATTACAAAAGTTCAATGGCTGATTGACAGCACGTGATTAGAATGCCTCGATGCTCAACAGCACTCCAGTGTTTCATATTCCTCCACATTTGCTGGAGTAGTTTGACGACATTGACCCATCAAATAATTCCCTCTACTGTATGTAAACAGACTAAGTCTACCATACCCCCAGTCTCTCCAACTTTTGAGCCACAGCCCAAAATGGGCTCAAATCCTACTTCTCCCAACATACCACTACCACAAAGGAAGTAAAGAAGGAAACATTAAAATTTAAGGGAGCGGCTCACTCTACTCCAGGTTCTTCTCTTCTCTAATTAGTCGATGAAGGGTTATAGGTTCCTCGGATGAATAACTATCAAGTTATGGTGTACGACCTACTAAGGTGAGTGCTAATTAAAACTAAATGAGGGATAACTAGTCTTCCCCAAATTTAAATATCATCAAATATTACGGTAACTACACTCCATGGGAACTACATGTAGAGTATATGTGGATGACAAGGATTTAAAAAGTTTTGTATACATGTATATATCAGGATCTCGTATGCACAAGCGCGCACAACAACATCACGTAAGCTTTTCACCCACACATGCGATTCATCCATGCGGTGGACTTTATAGCAACAAAAAATTATTTGGCTTTCTTTATGAATATCAGATGGACTCTTCATGACCACCGGGGTTGCCCTAACGAGATGAAAGATTCTCCTGCTTCACCTTCTCTGTTGATCAATGATGCCTTCTCCTTTTACGGTTGGGCGGAACTCTTTACAACATTAGCAGAAGAAAAATGTGTCTCCCTTAATGCACGATTCCTCAATTCAAACCGCAGATGAGATGCTTCTTCTCTTTATGCTGAATCCTTCAGGCGAGTGGTGCGAAAGATTCTCGTTTTTTGTTTCTTTTTGCAAGACTGAATCTCACTTTTTGGCCAAATGACGGAAAGATTCTTTACTGAGAATTCCTTTTTGAAAATGTGCACTTCTCTTTAAACCGCAAGATCTTCGCATGAGCCATCTGCAATATTTTGTTCGACCGCTCCCGAAGAAAGATCGGCACAGCAGCCAGGCGGGCATCGGGCATCTTTGGGCTCTCGCCTTGCTTTATCCCATAATCGAAAATTGGGAATATTTGGTACCACGCGCATAACAACAAAACATCAGGCCCTCCTTTTGAAGTGTTGTTTGAATGCACCGCACCCGAATCCTCGACAGACAGACAATCCCTCCCCTCCCATCCCATCCATCTACGACTTCGAGAATGATTCGAAAGCCTTTGCGCGAGATATCAAACCCTCAAAAATCGCAAGGACAAAAACGCAAGAAAGAATTCACAGCCGTGAAGCCGAAGTCTGGAAGACTCGGAAAACGAACAGCCCTTACAAAACTGACGAGACACTACAGTGCAGAGTAGCGCGACGGTTAGGGAGCGACTCGTCATAACTCCAGTCCTTCGTACGTTATCGCTTTTCTCAGATGTGTATTCTCTCTCTCCTCCTTTCGGTTACATTCAATATTTGCAAAAATCAAGAAGGGCCACGATCTTGATGCTTCCTTTCATTCGACCATTGTGTTCCAAGGTCGGAACTGCCTTCCTCTGGCCGAGTGACAATAATAGATCCAGGACTCCCTGTCGTAGACTAGTGTACAACTTCCGACATGCAGAACCCTAACCCACCGGTGCCCTTGGTCATGGTCAAGATCCTCGGGAGAAAACAAGTGGCAAATAAAAGCAAGTCGAAGTTTATTCGATCGGGTCCTTCACTTCTTCTTCTGCTTCTTCTTCTTCTTGTTTTCTTCTTTTCTTTTCTTGGTCGCCAGCTGAAGGGGGACCGATTGTGAAGAAGAAGACCGCGTCGCGCCCCATGAGCGCATGGCGTCGCTGTTCTGTTCTTTGTGAGAGGCCAGCGCATGGGTGGCGATTTTTTGCCAGATCCACATGACAGAGGAGGAATGCCGGTCCACGGCGGCCACCCTCACAAAAAGCACAAACTTCTACATATTCGCGCTTGCCACACCAGGTCCGCAACAACTGTCGAAGAGAGAACAAGGCAGAGCTTTTGCACTACATCCATCCACGTAAAATCTACTCATTTCCGATCGAGTATCAATCATCCTCATGCATCCGAGACATGTCTTAACACTCCATCCTCCTCACGAAACGAGTCCTGGCCCAATGGCCGGCCTCCAGCTCACGCGGAACCACGCAAGTCTTCGCATTGTGAAGAAACCGACAACAACATTCCGCAGAAGGCCCGGAAAAGAACAAAACAAAGAACAACAACAGTGGAGTCACCATGATCCGATCATCATCCACCTACACCATGTTGTAATCTTTTGCACTTTAAACACCCTTCCAAAAGAGAACCGACCACGCTTATTTCTCCAAACCATGAATTACAGCTCAAAGCGAATCAAAGTACACATCATCTTTGTGTGACAGGAAGCACACAAATCTACATATTCTTTTATTCTTACTCGGAGAATATCACCCTGTCCAGACACCGAGCTGATCGCAGCCTCGTGCATTCCTCGCGTTTCTCAATCTCATAACTACGTAAAAATATCCCCTGAATCCCAGGGAAAGTACACACGTCGTCTATTTTTATATAGAAAATGCCTTTTTATTCCGATGTCTGTGTTAGGCATTCATCTCCGGCGCAGGCGACCTTGACTTGGTTCCTCGTCACTCCATGAAAAAGCAGCAGCGGCAACTAGTAGTTGTTGTAGTGGATGACTCTTTGCTGCTCGGCGCCTTGGCGCCCTCCCATTGGCTGCCCTGCGCGCGAAAGCAGGGCTAAAGGGCTCCCACCCCCATTTTGGAATTATCTCTATAATGGAGATTTAAGCAGCCGGATAAATAGTACGCTCTTCGGCATCTGAGTTCGCTTTTCTCTGTAGCCCGAGTAATTGCTCATTTATTCTCGTCTTCGCACTTGGCCTTTGCTCTGGCTCTCCGGCTCTCCGGCACCAGCATTGTGAGCCATGGTCGGAGTTAAATAATTCCTCGCCAATTATTAAACCCTTCCCCTCCTGCCTTGACCCCAGTCACTTGACTTGACCTGACCTGACCTGACCTGACCTGACCTGACCTTCTTATCTCACGGATGAGAACATTCCTTTAATCTGCCCTTTTGAGCCTCACCGTATAGTACATCGCGAACTGTACATGTACAGTATCCCGAAACGTTTCGGGATGACGTGGAACCGCCTGGTGATATGGCATGCTACTGTTGTCCGTGTAGCTGCTACGCACCTCAGAGCCCCCGTAGACTAGGACGCTTTACGGTCCCCTTCAATGCATGTTTTATACGTATCAGTACTGCTCGCTTGCTTGCTCGCTCGATCACTGTACGCTTGGCTGCTTGTGTATGCCGTCCAAATCCAATTGCCTTCGGAGCTCGAACAGCTCTGTTCTGACTCGCTCTGCAGTAGAAAGGATTTCTTTTCTACTGCTGCCGAGCGCTTGCGGGCTCGAGGGCTAGAAGGCTTGAGGCACCACCGAGTCATTCACTCTTTTACTCATCCATTCATTCATTCATTCATTCGGTCTCCCTCTCTGGCCTGTCGAGACTTTTGGGTCTTCCGGTCTTCCATATCTATCTGTCCGCCGATCTCGTGGAAAGAAGAGAATCTCTCGGTAAGTAACTTGCCTTCGCTCGTTCGTTTGTTCACTGCTTTTCTTTTCTAGTTTGAATCAATGAATCCCGGGTCGCTGCTGCTACATGTTGTTGAGTTTGGATCTCGTCTTCGAGGTTATGCTGAGGACACGTCTCTTGTTGGAGCCACAAAAGCTCTGTCCACTTCTGTCCGTTAAACTGGATGAGTGAAGCAGCAGATATTGTCTCCATTGACCTTGGTGAGAATATTTTTGTAATAATGCACCGGCGGGTATGTGGGCGTGGCTCATTGGCTTGTAAGACGTGGGTTTCCAGTGAGTGTGTGCATGAGGGTGAAACTTTGAGTGACGTCATCGACAACCGTCTGCTTATCGATAAACTCCTAGCCTCGTGAACACAAGGAACCAACCAACTCATATTCAATTCCACCGTTGTCCATGCTGGTCTATGTGAAATTATTTTAAACTCGTTCCTGTTCTAACGTTTTTCTTTCCTTGGGAACTCGACTGTCCCTCTAATACTTAAGAGACGTCATGAGAATCACCGAAGGGATGATCTCACAGTGAGCTCAATAAAGGAAGAGACACCTCATCATGTAAAAACTCCAGCTGAAAAGAATGACACCAGTACTTTGGAAAACACATTCGGTTAAGTCCAACATCAAATCTGAGCAGAAATTAGAATTTGTCGTCTAACATTTATTACAGAATGTGAACCTTATATTTTTTTCATTTTCTCTAAACGTGGAACTTGCGATATGTATTTAATCATAAGTCACAAGTTCATTTCTGATCGTGATCTTTATGTTTTTTTTTTTTATCTAATGTTTTTTTACTTACATGTATATCAAGAATTATTTGATTTAACATATCATATTCAATGCAACCTTCAACTTTAAATAAAATGGATGCACTTTCGTTTTGATTCATGTGGAATATTTTTCAATGCCTCATGTAATGGGAAGGTTACACCTGTGTGCAAGAAAGAAAATCTTCAAAAAGTCCATAAAATATGCAAACTCTTGACATGTGACAATCATTCTATGTCTTTTTTCAAATTTGTGAAGATAGAAGTATTATGTATGTTCGTTTGTTTGTTACATTATTACATTTGTAAACATCATTGATACTCCTTAAGATGTGAGAAGTACTTTTAACTCGTATATCATGTACTTTCCCCGTCTTATGTAGATAGAGTGTGCAACTTCTGCGATAAAATTTGATTTCTACCATTGGTATTTGAATTGTATTTCTTCCATTCATTCAGATTCAATTCAAATGGAAATTGTATCTATCTAAGGTAAGTTTGAAACATTCTAGTGTTAATCAATATTTTACCTTTGAATGAAAAATGTCAACTTGTCTTCGAAAAAATTGTACGTCATGAACTATTAGTACTTCTAAACCATCACCCAAAAAAAAAACCTTACGATAATCACTAATTATTTAATTTCATTCATTTTAATACCAAGAAACTCAACGATCCTTGGATCGTATGTCAACCTCCCCTCTTTCTCCAGCAACAGTTACTGAGATTAGGAGGAAAGTGCCAATCTGGGATACATGTTCTCAAAACCATCTAATTAAAAAATGTGACGTTTTTTTAGTTGAAATTTTCTACCTTAGATTATGTATAGTATCTTATTTTTAGTTATTCTAAACAAATATTTATAAAATTTGAATTAGATAAGACGTGTCAATAGCACGACCACATTTAATGCTAGCCAAAATACGAATAAAACCTTAACAATTCATATCGGCCGCGTATGGTGCAACCAAAGTCGGTGTGGAGCAATATGAAACCTAAGTATATAGTTGATTATATTTTCAAATCCAGGAGGAAGATTTACTTAATAGATTTAGAAAATGAGATCTTGAAGAGAAAAACGTTGACCCGCCATCTCACCATATAGAAATTGTCACGATTCACTTTAAGCCGACGCTTCTACTTCATAATCTACGGAATTATTATGATATTCCGGAAGTGGCAATCGGAAAAATCACCTCGACATTTGAAACATAATGCACTCCCTATACTTTTCTTTCATTGTCTTTCACAGACACACACACACATACATTAAGCATTATCTTTATTACTCGAATGTTTGGATCCTCGCAGTATGTGAAGAGTCCCATTCCACACGAGACATATATGATCATGGAGTATCGAATATGTGTCATAGGTGGGGAAGCTATCATCATCATCCACTCTCAGTATTCCCAGAGTGTGGACTAGACTAGCTATGCGCGGGATAATGAAAATATTTGGCGAACATTCTTGCTGCCGAGGAAATGTAACGAACGATCCACGTCCTCGCGCGACATGCGCACAAAATGTAGCGCGGTTCGAACGGCGTTGCAGTCGAGCATACATCGTTGGGACGCGCCGATTGTCACGGCACGTAGTAACGACCATGGGACCACGGACGGCGAGAACCGCGCTCCCGACGGCGAGAACGTCGGGAGCGCGGTCGGTCGACGGCGCGTCTGGGCGCGACCATGGATTTCACGCGGGGCATGCAGCAAACACTAAATTATGTGGAGGCGGATAGGGATTCCCCACCACGGGCGGAGGCCGGCTCTCGTCGTGGTCGAGGGAAGGTCGAGGCTCGCGCGCAGAAGAAAAGAGGCTACAAAAGAAAACGGCCCATGCTCGAATGGGTGGCGAGACATGGCGAGGGATTTGAGGGTGCCGTTTGATGTCTTCCACACAGGACACTGCTGTACTCTAACGAACGCACGGTATGCCGATGACAGTTGAGCTTGTTGTTCGGAGGGGTTGTTTGCTAGTCGTATAAACTAGAGTTTCGCTGGAAGAGAATGGGATTCTCACAGCCATGGAATAAACAAATGGTCAAGAAGTAGTAGGATCGCACGTCGCGTCGATTCCGAAGTAAACCGTCAAATCGAGCAGTTGTATCTAGATTTTCACGTTTATCCGGAAGCAAGAACAGAAATTTTTTTTTAGAACTTTCACGAAAGTATCGTCGTTCAGATTCAAGTCCTCCACATCTTGCGACATCTTTTTGACGTCCTTTAAATTTGATCTTCACACTTCACTGTCTGGTTACCTACACTGTTCATAAAATATCCTTGTCTTTCTCGGGCGGCCGTCCCAAATTGCTCTGACATCCTCTTCAAATCCTTCTCTTCATTGGCCCCAAACCCTCGATAACCCTCTCATCCACCACTTTTGTAAAGACTCGGCTCATGCCTTGCACATACCACTAGACAGATCTTATTGAGCCCGCTTCAGTCCTTATCTCTTGTTCTCGCCTCAACCCCACTCAGATATTTTATGTGTTTCTTGACGTTCAACTAAAATTTCTTTATGTATGTATGTATCTATCATTGGACTCGAATCTCAACTTGACTTTTGAGCAACATGCAGAGAAGTTTTCAGTCTGCACAAAGTATGAATTTGATCTATATGCTTTTCCTCAGGACTAGTCGTATGATGTCATTGGTCAAGTTTCACTCCACGCCCGTGGCTAGGTATGTTGTGTTTACGGAATTGTTGCATGGTTTGCAATGTTCGGTTTTCAGTCTGCGCACAAAGAATGAATCTGATCTGAAGACTTTTTCTCAGGACCAGTCGTATGATGTCATTTGTCCCGTTTTACTACACAACCGTGGCTAGGGTTACTTATGTTCAGGAATCGTTGCATGAAGAGCAGTCTTCTGTAAAGGTAAGCCAACAATGCAAGTACCTTTAGCGACCCCTCATAGCCTAACGAACATCACAACTCTCTTGTTCGAACCTCCAGGTGCAAACTTTAAGTGACCCTTTTCTCTCAAAACTTCATCTGTCAATGAGCTCAGAAAAGATTCTAAGTAGTTAGACCTTGGGCGCTCATAATGAAGGAACATGAAGTTACCCTAATGATCTCTTCATCTTTCATTTGTCAGACAGACGATCACTTTTATTCGTTTTCTCGACTCATGAGTTTGGAAAAGTTTCCCCCATCATCATCGACAGCAAGTGTTAAGTCTTTGTGTGCTGTAGAAATATTTCAATTGTATAGGCATTTGAGAGAATCTACACATCGGAAACTTTTTGTTGCGCTTGATCAGATTACTGTTGACTGAATGTACAACTTACTGCAGATTGAACTTTAGCACTGGAATCGACCACGCTTGTTTTGGGTCTGGACTGGAAACGAGAGTTTGCATTTGTTTACACGTATATTGCCGAGCACGGTAATGTATCCAATAACTGTATCATAATTTTCGTATTGGTAGGGGGTACCTCACTGCATGACGGAAATATCTGGATATTTCGAGATGGGAACTTGTCAACTTCTATTTGTCTGCTTGCAACATTGACAGTACTGTCTTAAGACACTGAAGAAACTCTGAACAAATATTTTTGTCAGAAGCATATCATGCAGTCTTGTAATGGTTACCAAAAAGAAGGACAAGAGAACTCCTCGGGAGAAATTCAGCACTGCACTAACCACTACATGTCATTTTCGTCATGACGTGTCTCGAGAAGATTACAACTAAACTGGGAGTTGCAGCCTCCCAGATAATTTGCAGGTCCAGGTTAGAAACGCGACTTTCCCTTAAGTAATTTTCTGATTGCATAGTAATTCGGTATTTTCCCTCCGGTGAAACTTTTCACTTACATCCGTCACAGAGGACATCGACAACAGAAGCGACTAATAGTAAAGTCTGTTGGAGTAGTGTCTGGGTGACCGACTTCAATCATCCGTCCAACTCTTGAGAATAGCAAAAAATCTGAGACCACTTTTAGTCTCTCTGAGAAACTTTGATGATACATCGATGACTCACAGCTTGACTGACCTCGATACCGTCAATCTGGTCACCAGATTAATTGGTGATGGAACAGGATGTGGCTTGAATCTGCATCTGAAGCTTCCAATCTGAAAAGGTTTGGCCTCACACTGCACAATGCCCTCACTTGTTTATGAGTTGAGTAAGACAGCTCTTCACTGATCACCGTTCACTGTCAGAGCAGAAAGAAAGAAAAGTCTACGAAGTCGAAAACACGGTGCTGGATTAAGCACCACAGTTTTCGATCAGCCTTATGCTGTACAGTGCAACTTCACTATCCACCACAGCCATATCAGATTTCGGGAGCATGCTTCAGCGGCCGCTGCTTCTGCCGAGCCATGGAGCCATGGAGCCATGGATGCTCCAAGAGTTTGGGCGATATGCTCTGGGCTGGACTTGCCCATTCACATCACCTCGAAGCAGCAGTAGAGCCCTTTTTAGCTCGGTGGTGACTCTAGTGATCAAGTTGATCCGTAGATCGGGCGAGCGCTAGCCATGAAAGCTGCCAGACAAATAATTCAGGGTGCTAGTGTAGACTTTTATCCAGCACGACCACCCGACTAGCCCCATGGAGTTAGGTAGACCTGCATCGAGAACAGCAGGAGCCCTGCCTCGTGCTACGCTACCGCCTGCCCGGCCTAGGTTCGGCTCGATTCTCTCGTCTCGACCCGATGCCCCCCCCACTCTCCACCCCTCGTAGGCCCCCTAGCCCCCCTCGCCCCCCTCGGCCCTCGGGCGTGTGTGGTGATGGAAACGCATTGCAGTCGGCGTTGAAGCTGTGCTCCCCCTACTGTCCCGTACCCATCCACCCCCCACACTCTATGCCAAGACAGCTCGATGTGTCAACCGCTAACTGTCAAACCCTAGCACAAGCTCTCGGGTGTGGACTTGTGCGCTTCGAGATGGAAGCGGAACTGGAAACACCTTCCATCCATCCAGCCATGGGTAGCGCCAACATTTGCACATATGTCTTGACTCTAGGCTCCAGAAGCTGGAGCTGGAGCTGGAGGCGGATCGGATCGGCTGAACCAACCTCCTGGCGATGCGAAAAAAATAGATTACTTTAGCAAACAATAGTCGAGGCATGTTGCGTTGGAGATAAGCCATGCAATGCATGTTCGTGCGCTTTTCGAGCTCGGTGATATGCTCAAGTTGACCCGTACATGCAGCGAGCAAGAACTAGCCATCAAGACTGCCAGACAAACGATCCAGGTTGCCATTGCCGAGCTTTATCGACGTAGTGCAGTTGGGTGCATTTGTAGACAGGGGGCTGGCCGCTCGCGGATTGGATCGGCTAGGCTGAGCCTGGCTTCTCTCCCCTCGCACCTCTGGCCTCCCGAAATGCTGCCTGCTCCTTTCGGTGTGTGTTCGTGTTTCTGTGCGCGTGTGCGCTGCGGTGCGAGCGATTGTGTGTGCGCGTATGTGTGTGTGGTGCTCGTGAACGACCAGCTCTGCTTGCAGTCGGCGTTGCAGGGCAAGGCACTCCCTCATTCGTCGACACTTTCATTTCCATATTTCCTCCGACTTTTTCCCTTCCGCGCTCGACTTCCTTCCCTTCCATGTCGAGATAAGACACAGCGCTATGCTGCCTGCCTACATGCTTTCCGATCCAAGCGTCTGCAGGTTAGTCTTGTGCTTTTGAATGTGCATGCACTCCGCCAAGGGATGTGGAGAAAGCTGACGCTTTCGCACGCTGCCACCCGCTAACAGCACAATTAGCGCAAATCGAGCAGGCTTACGGTCATGGCGATGCTGCTCACCTGCTGCCCTACAATTCCGTGGTCGGATTTTCTCATCATGACGACACACTTTAGCCATTCGGATATGTGCGCGAGTCGGTCCGTACCGGGAAAGAGAGAGAGTAGTCACGAACCCTACGAGGCAAAAAATCCAGGTTGCTCTTGTAGACCCGCGGGGCGCTCGGCCTAGCGCACACACATAGCGCAGTTAGGTGAACCTGTCGATAATGATGAACCTGTTGACTCGTATCGCCTCGCATTTGGCTTTACTCGCGGGGGACCGCCTGCGCTTTCTCTCTTTCTCGTCTCGTTGGTGGGGCATGCGTGAATTTCGAGCCTGCAGGCCGCCGTGCAGCACTTTCAGCTATCGGTGCCTTCTCTCGTTCCAATCTCGGTCAAACATGGCCTCAGACCGATCAGCCTCCAAAATCAGGTCGCGATCGGGCAGAGGCTATTCCGCCGAGCTTCGTTCCTCGACGGCTTATCGCAATTTCGGGATCAGCTTCGGATCCGAGGAAAACCTCGATCGATTAAGCGCCACGGATTGGCATGATCGCGGTGCGGTGCGGTGGGGTGACAGGGGTGCAGCATCAGCTCGTTCGCAGCTGGAACCTCAGGAATTCACCTACCGATTCTCCAGCATCTCCGTACGTCGGTCTAGCTCGAGCTGAGATCCGTCATCATCGCGCAAAACAATCAATTCAGGTCGTTAAATGAGACCTTTTATGTTAGCCAGGGAGTAGCGCTGTTGAGAGCGGGCTCCATGGCTTTTCCTTTTCGCTCTGCGATCACAGATGGTGAGTGAAGCTCGACTTTCGGTTTTCATGCCTCGTGGACGTGGACATAATGGCCACTGCCAGCACCGGCACCAGTGACGCTTAAGTGAGCGTCGAAATCGAGCGCGGGGGCTCAGATTCTCGAGGCTCGACGTTCGTTATATCTCCGGCTACTTTGCGTTTATGAGCAGAAGCCGCTGGGTGCCATATCTTTTCGCTCTACTTTTGCTCTGCTCTCGAGTACCCGCCACAACGATCGCGGTAGACTTGGGCATGGCAGCCTTTGGTGCCTCAGTATGAGCAGCACCGTGGGAAGTCGCCTAAAACTGAGCTCGCCTTTGTTGTGGCTCCAATGCTGCACAAAGTCGGTAATCTGCCAAGGCTGAGGTCAGGTGTGCGGCGCATCTCGCTCCACAGTCCAGGGAGAAGAGAATATCCGCCCACTCACCGAACTCTTCAGAAAAGGTGCGTCGATTCTAACTACATAACAGCTTCTATGGGCTGATGTCACTTTTCTCACATTTCTTGGTCGCCAGTACTTGCAGGAAGGTTCAGCTTTTCTCCATTTGAATCAGCTACGCTATGTCTGTACAGAAGCTGCCAGACTCCCTCGATCCCCGGAACGCAGGAAAAATCAATCGGCTCCTTCTAAGATGTGAAAGGCAGATGTTGTTTCAGGACCCATTGGACTCATAAAGTCTTCTTCTCAGACACACTCAGCATAGCATCTCATTGCCTCCATAAAGTCCACCATATATGACTAAATCTGTTCTCTCTCTCCCTCTCTGTCTCTGAGCACTGGAATTCATCACCCTAATCTGTGTGCCTTAAGAAGAGCGATATGATGAAGCGTGTCAATGTGTAGCAAAGATTTATAATTGTCAAGAGCGTGGAGGCTTGTGATGATATCTACGAGCCAAGAAGCAAAAGTCAAGAGAGGCAATTTGTTTCTTAAAAGATGTTTCCACAGGTGTTCATTAACCACTCTTCTGCTTACTTCATGTCTGCATCTTACTAAATGTATGCAAGTAGCTAATGGTTATAACGTGTGAATTTGCGTTCATCGTCGATGGTGACCAGTAATCCTAAACTCTTCAATTATTAAAAGAGGGTTCACGGTTTATAATAACCTGATTATAATTACAGTGATTAAAGTAGTACAATAATATACTCCAATTCAGAAGTACTCAGAAATAGTTTATCGACATTATCCGAGATTCCACTATGGTGAAAAACTAAAAAATAAAAAATATAGAGGAATCGAACTACAACTTGTAGAGGTTACGGATCATTGCCATGGCGTGCGACTTGGATGTACTTTATCAGCCTTTGTCTGATCACGTTCTTACGAGAATCAAAGGGGTTGAATTCAGCAGCTCTGGGTTCCAATATGGTAAGAATCTTTTGATTGGTCAAATACATGTGTTTGAAGCCTCCTCTTTTGCTTGCATGCAAATCTTGTTGGCGGGGATCTCCTGTACAAGTACAAGTAAGTCCGTTTTGACCCCTTGTGAACACATGAAGGCTAAACATAAATGAACGCCAGAGTAAGCGATAAAGTATGAATATACGAACAGATATGGAGGGTAATACTACAGAATTCAGTTTTGACTGCCTTACAAAAGATCCTCTGAGTCTGAGTCTAGCGAGAGCAGGCAGAGGTGCCGTCTCTCGCTCTCTGGCACATCCAAGTAGCATACATGCGAAACAAGATACGCATAATTTGCTGGACCTCAGCAACTGTAGTTACCCAGAAAGATGACATAAGATGAGCTCACTTAGACACACGCAGTACTTGAGTACGACCAGCTCCGAGGGCTACCAAGGGTTTGTTTTCTAGCTCCCAGCCAGAAACTCGATCATCCGGCATCTAAAAATATTGCACAACAAATTCATGGGCGAAGTAACTACTGTTATGGTTCGATTCTTTGGTAGTGGTGCAGTTAGTGGGAGTGGTGGTGGTGGTGGTGGTATATTTGACTTCGAGGACTTTTGGAGCGAAATGCGGTCACCCCTTCGGCCTCCCTCCTCCTCCTCACGCCCCACTTCAACTGATGAGACGAAGGAATGTTTCTCCCCTCAGATTTGATTTGCTGTGCTGTGCTGTTCAGATATGGCTGTGTTGTGGTGCAGTTCTCATGTGAGTTTTGCCTATGTGTTGTGCTCTCCGCTCACCTCACCTCTGCTCTACTCTACTCTACTCTACTGCTGCTGAACTAACTATCAGCATGTCCAAATCTTTGGCGCAAAAGTCATTTTTGGTAATATGCTGCTTTTGTTTGGTTCGTTTCCCTTCAACTCTATTCAGACTTGTGATAAGATTTGATTTGAACTTTTTAGTACAAACTCTACAGTATTCTCCTGAATGAACACTGAGATGATGAAAGAGCGGACGGTGCTCCTGCTGCTGCACCAGATTCCGAATCTCTTCGACCACGCACCATGTCAGGCCCGGCCAGACCTCCGTGGTACCGCCACCATTACTCCTCACTTCAGACAGCCTATAATCAGACTCATCAGAGCAGATTTTTCTCCCGCTCATTCCCAACCTCATTCATATATTAGCAGGTCTCTTCCCGAGTACTTTTCGCTTCCCCTACCTACACCGTCGTTGCCAACCTAGGTCGACCGAGTGCAAAAAATCGACCTTTTCAGACACTTCACATATGCGTATAAAATCAAAATCAGAACTAGTCCAGACCAAATGGATATTTATTTGTACATCTGTTAGCTTTTCTGTAAATTTGACCTGATTCGTTTGTATGTTTCCACGTACTACTCCCTGTTTGTGGATATATGGATTCCGGAAACCCAAAAGTAGCATCATTCCTCCCGGCTACTGAACTAGCTCGCTACCTAAGCAATATTTCCTTTGATCTTTTGGGGAAAAATCACAAAAATCCTCTTATTTGTTCTGTCCTTTTTCCTTTGAATATCTTGCTCGCTACACGAGCAAACAGAAAAAAGCCAACAATAATGGAAGGTTGGGGCTTGCTTTATGAGGCTGCATTTCGTCTATTTTGACATACGAAAGTGAAGGACTGAAGGCTATGTCGATGCTCTTCCACTACAGTTCACTCATATTCGCATCCAGGTTGGTATTACATCTCTCAGGTGTGTACTACTTCGCGTGGTTCAGCTTGTTAGCAGAGAGTTTGTAGACATCCATGAAACACATGCCACAACCGTACAATCTGTTGATTCTTTTTTATTCTCAACACTTAACTCTCATCATCATTTCGCCTTAAAGCTTATGGGTTGTTTAATAGATTGTAGAACTTTGATATCATGTTTCCATATGAAAACTATAAACGTGTCCTTAAAAGCTAATATTGTCCTAAGCGAAACCATTCTAACATCATCTCCAACGATACAGGCTATAGAGACCGAAATCTCCACATGTGATGTTTCTTTCCAGATTATAACATGTGATGTTTCTCCTAACGTATAACATTTGTGTACTATCTTTTACTTATTTATTTCATTTACTGTTTATTTTACGGACTGAAAAATAATGAACCGATAAATTAGAGAAAATCTTGTGGAAAAAGTTTTGCTTGTGGAATATATACAGAGTATATTTCAATCATTTTCACCCAAAAAATTGTTGATCGTAGTCAATTTCAAACTTTATCAATATTTTTATGCAATCTCCTTTTTTTAATCTACATATGATATGAAAAAACACAATATTTCGAATATTTTTACTTCATTTTTTCAATTCTAATCATTGTGTCAACTCCTCTACAGATTTATGAAGAATATCCATATTAAATCCATATAACTCGGAATTTCATTCTAAAAACTACAAGTGCTTATCTTCTGTAATAAAATAAATTAGAAGCAAATAGTCTATATATTATCCAGTAATGTGCTTGAGGTGACAAATTTATGCACATAGGTTTTTCACTTAAACATAGATAAAACTTTTGTTGAATAAATGGATTTTTGGATTTGATTGCAAGCTCTATTTAATAAACCTAAATGCCTGATGAATAATTCAGAAAACAAATTAAATAAAAGAAAAATTAGATTCATCATTTACTATCCGTATATTAAAATATGAATCTTAAGAGCTCAACACACAGTATTCTCCAATCATGTCAATTTTCAATCATGAATTAAAATACTTTTCTAAGATTTTTAAATATTGTATCCCATTTGAAGTATTACTCAAAACACATGCACATCATTATTAAAAATCAAAAAATGTGTTTAAATCATTTTCATTGATAAAACCATCATACCTAGTGAATTCTGCATTTATTGCAATACATTCATATGAAACAAGAGTTCTGATTTAACCTGACATTGATATCATGGAGTAAATTTTAAACTTATAAGAAGTCTTTGAAGTATCTTAAACTATTATTAATTGATAATAAACGATCCATCTGCATCTTAATTCCTTAACGTGCAAAAAGTTTTAACTATATTACATAAAGTTATTCATCATTGTGTTTGATATGTATGCATAAAATTGATGATGATAGGGCTAATGTTGTTAAATAAATAGAAAATAATCTCATCTTAGAATAATGTTGTTGATATTTATTAAATTTGAAAACCAAATATTATTAAACGATTACATCTTATAATGGAACAAATAATAATTTATATTTGCAAACTTAAAATATTTTAAAGAAAATCATATGTAATATAGACAGAGATTATATAAAAAACTTAATAATTCATGTTTATTTGACCAGTTCCAATTCAACTAGTTTCTAAATCCATCAATGTTTAAATTGTTATCTTGTTCAAAACATATAACATCATAACCTTCAAAATATATTTAACTTTAAACTTTCAAAAATCAAGACAAATTTTTACTTAAAGGTTAAATTTTGAAAAAAAATTGATAATTTTATCAAATTTATGTACTCAGCTATTCCTTTAGATTTAATGAAAAACAATAAAATTACTTTCAACTATTTAAAATCTAAAAACTTCCAAGAAAAAATTTCAAGATATATATCGAAGATAAATATATATTTTTCATGCATTGCTTTTCTACTTTTGAGTTTCAATTCAAATTCTTTTCCTTGAAAATTCATTACATAATTTTTGAAATAAAAATCATCATCATTTGTGTGTTTATCCAAAGTTGAATGGATATTTGCTACCATTCAACTATGGATACATATTTAAAATTTCAAAAAAATGATTCAATCACTCTTTGAAGATTGAACTTTCAATCTTTGAATGTATGCTTTAAAACTAAAACCTAATAAAAACTGCTTCATTTTGTCTTTAGTTTTCTTTAGAACTTGAATAAAATAGAAACAAAATTTACAACCTTTATCCACATGATTTGGAATAATTAAAGGAGATGAAGTTTTCTTGTTTTATATTTTTGTGACTATTTTATAAAGTGTCAATTTCAAGCCAATATTTTGTTTGTTTTGATTTTTTATATCTTATCAGCATCACTTATTCTTGTGATTCATCCATGTCTAAATCACTTGTCTTATTTGCCATTGTTTTTTTGAGCTAGTTGAAATTTTTTATTCTTAGTTGAAAAATCATCTCAATTGGAAAATTTAATATCCAAACATTACTTCATGTTATCAATACATTCAGTGTTAAAGATTGTAAATTATTTGGTAATCTATTAGTCTGTAGTTCTTTCAACCGTAGGAAATATTTTATACTTTCCTTGAACCATTTTGAGATGTTAATTCAGTTGTGAAATATATATTCCAAAATGAAAATGAAAGTCAACAATAATTTTCAAACAAACTTCTAGCTTAAGCGTGTTGCACTATTTGATCAAATCCAACATTCTATGATCAAAGCTCGATCTGTCTTTTCTGAACTGAAAATAAATAAACAAGACATAATTAGAATCTACAGAAATAATAGAGATAGACAGATTTAGAAACAAAAGATAAGAAATTTTCAAGAGAATTTTTTTTTAATATATACAGTTATTTCTTTTGAAGTAGTTGAAGGGATATTTATGTTTGTCCAATATTCTATGCTTCCAAAATTTGAAATATATTGAATTTGATACTTTGAAGATTATACTTTTGAAAATAAGTATAATGAGATTTGTACAAGAGATATATATCAGTAATTATACATTATATCAAAAAATAATTTTATTCAAATTATTGAGTAGTAAATATTA